TTAAATATTTCCTATACAATGCATATTAGAAAAAAATTCTCGGGTTCGATTCCCGATTCAGCGACTTTCGGATCTATATTTTTCTCTTGCATTTATTTATTTCCGTAGGGGGGTTAATGGGATTATTGAAATTAAATCTCAAAAATGAGATTATTTCATATTTAAAATCTTGGCCGTGACCAAGTAAAATTTGGTGCCCTGTGCACAGATATTTAATTCTAACGAAAAAATTTAGTATCGTTAGGATAACGCACTGTCTTCCGCGATTGGCTCTTATTGTCTGTCTTACGTTTTAAATTTATATTTAGAAAAAAATGTTTTAAATAAAAGTTGTATGGCTTAAAAAATATATTAACTGAGATGGTATTCATTTGACCTTGGGATGACCTTGAAAAACAATCCTTGTCAACATAAAAATTTTAAATGGAAATCTCCAATTTTTATTACATATTCTTGTAGCTTAACTCGAGAGCTTTTCAAAACACTGTAATAAAATATTTTTCTCTTACGTACTTTTCTACTTATAAAGGTTTGAAGTTGACAACTTTCTGACATAAAATGTAAAATATCTTGCAAAATATTCAGTTTTCGGTAATCATACCTTACTATTTTTATGCCCCGCATAATGAGACCAATCTATTAATGTAAAGAAAACACATAGTTGCTTTTAAAAAAATATGTTGCAAATTACATATATCTTTTTTAAAGAAACTATGTCTTTTGTTTACACCAATTGATTCGTCTCATTATGCGTGGCATAAAAATATTAAGATATGATTACCGAAAACTGAATATTTTGCAAGATAGTTTACATTTTATGTAAAAAAATTGTCAACTTCAATCCTTTATAAGTCGAAAAGTACATAAGAGAAAAATATTTTATTATAGTGTTTTGGAAAATTCTCGAGTTAAGCTACAAGAATATGTAATAAAAATTGGAGATTTCCATTTAAAATTTTTATGTTGACGAGGATTGTGTTTTACAAGATCATCCCAAGATCAAATGAATACCATCTTAGTTAATACATTTTTTTAAGCTATACAACTTTTATTTAAAACATTTTTTTCTAATATGCATTGTATAGGAAATATTCAACCGTATTCAGACTTTTGGCACACCCTGTATAGAGCATTTTAAAAATCTAGAAACAGTCGCATATATCATATAGATAATACATTTTAGAAAAAAATATTTCAGACAAAAATATTATAGGGTTTAAATATTTATTTACTACTTTGACCTTGGATGGGATTGCCGAATTCAAAGAGAACAAGATTAATTTAAATTTTTTAAATAAAACCTCCATATTTTTTTATATAAATCGATTCTTCGCTATATTTTGTATAAAAAATTATAAGGATAGTACTATGATAAAAAAATGAATAGTTTAGATATTTTATATTTTTATTAGATATATAATCTTACATAAATTATAAAATATATAAATCTCGTAAAATATTCATTTTTGAAATATCTTTTTATAACTTTTTAAACAGAATATAGTAAAGAATCGATTTATATTAAAAAAATATGGTAATTTATTTAAAAAATTCAAGATGCTCTTGATGTTGGCAGTATTATTCAAAGTCAAAATTATAAGATCTGTATAGATATTTTTAAATGCTACAATTTTTATTTAAAATATTTTTTTAAATGCATTGTTTATGAAATATTCAACTATTTTCAGACTTTAAACATTTTACACATACAGAGTGATTTATTTTAATTTTTGCAAGCAAATATCTTTAAAATTAAGCCAAGTACGAAAAAAAATTTAGACAAAAGTTGTAAGATTTTATAGAAAAAATAAATTTTGGCGTTACTAATTTTTTCCTAAACGGCAATTTTCAAAGTTATTTGAAGATCAATTTTTTTTTTAATTCAAGAGAAAGAGAAATGCAAATCACAGATAATCCTTCCGTTCCTTTTCAGATTTTACATGCGGATCATTTTGATCCAATCGTTGAAACACCTCAAAGTTTCAAGCACATATTGCTCATTGTGGATGCATTCACACGTTTTACGTGGCTCTGCATTAAAATCCACCGGATCTAAAGAATCGATTAAACATTTTCAATATTTATTTTATATTTTTGGGGGATATTTTATGTATTTATAGGACACAATTTTACATAAACTATGAAATATTTAATAAAATATTCATTTTTTATCGATTTTACTTTAATATATTTATACACAAAATGAAATAAATCAATTCATGCAAAGAAAATACACATTAGTTGTTTTTAAGATAAAGTATGTAGCTGCTGCTTGAACAGTCCTTTTTTTCTTAAAAAAACTGTTTTCTTTACATCAAGCGATTCTTTTTATTATTTTGTATACATATAAAATATTAAAATAAGATCATCAGAAAATATTTTATGAGATATTCCATAGTTTATGTAAGATTATGTTAAAGTAAAGTATAAAATATTTCGTAAACTACATTATCTCATATACTATTTTGGCCATTTTACCTTTATAACTTTTATTTATAGTGAATATTGCGAGAAATCGAATCATATAAAAAAAATTAATGTAGTTCCATTTAAGAAAACATAAATAATCTTTAAATGACTTTGAAAATCGTTTTTTAAAAAAAGGTCAATACCACCAATTTCTTTCTTTCCTCGAAATTTTATAATATCTATCAAAATCTTCTTTGTATATATACAGGGTGTTAAAAAAACATTCAGAAATTTATATGGTAGATAATACATATAATACTGAGTTGAAAAAAGTAACATTTAATAAAAATAGATTGAAAACCTAATTGTTTCAGAGATAAAATAATTTTATATATTACTATCATGATTAATTATTTTTTACGTGTCGCAAATGAAGGTTTACCTCTGTGTTTACAAACCTATATTTACAGAAGACGTTCTATATGTCCTCCTTTTATTACAATGCACGCTTGATAGTTTCTTCTTACAGAGTTACATATGCTTATCAAATAATTCGACATAGACTTCAAATTTTCGAGAATTCGCAACTTTCTAAAAAGAAGATGCATTGTAATGGATAAAGAATATAGGTATAGAACATCTCTTGTAAACAGTTTTGTCAGATATCACAAAATTGAAAGTAATATATAAAACAGTACTATATATGTATAAGACAGTACTAATAATATCTTATCGTTCATTTATATTATTTACACAATTGCACAATTATCTTTTTTTTTGCATAAGTATTTTAATTATATGATTTTTCTAATTTTTTATTAGTTGTTATGTTCTTAAGATAGAAAATTTTATTTTTAGAATAAATTAAATAAATTATTACTATTATTTTAACATAAATTATTATTAATCAGATTTAAAAAGTAGAAAGTTAAATAAATATTTCCTTATATACATAATTTTTTACGTATCTATTATTATGTTGATTACCAAGGTAAACTTTTAACGCTTGCCAAGAACGAACTCGCGAAAAAGCAACAAAGTTGCCCATGATTAAAAACATCTTTACGAAGATCTAGACTAATTCTATCAAACGTTTGTCCTTGTGATTTGTTAATTGTCATAGCAAAAGCTAATTTTATCGGAAATTGTCTTCTAGAAAAAGTAAAGGGATATACATTTTCACAATATAATGTTATACGATTCAAAAAAACAATATCTCCTGCTTTGTCACCTATTAAAATCTTACACTTTAATAAATGATCTGCAAGCTCTATAATCATTAATCTAGTACCATTACAAAGACCTTCATTGATACTAAGATTTCTAATCAGCATAATGATACAATTTGGCCTTAAACGCAATTCATGAGGAGGAAGAGATGATGGAGATAAACTATTCAAATATTCCGGTAACAAAGCTTCACCAATGTCACCATTGTCATCATTTACAGCACTGTCTATACTTGTATAAATTTGTTCACCAGTTACATCTAATAATTCAACAACTTTTTGATTTATTTCGTCTACATCAACATTTTTTGCAGAAAGTATCGCACATTTAGCTACTTCAACAAACTCTTTTTTTTTTAATTAATTCACCATATATATCTTCCACAATATCAGCATCAATAGGTGCTACACAACATTCAGGAATTTGTATGTTATCATTGAAATCATTTAATACGCCATCTCCCATATTTAATAAAAACTTCAAATTCAATTTCTTCTGGAAGAACTCGCATATTTTGTGTTAAAAAAATTTTACAAAATATCTCCAAGTAGAACTAAATTTAATAGATAGATTCACAATTTCACTTCGAGTAGCATGTACTTTTAGTGGCAAAAGTTGTCTAAAATCACCACCTAATAAAACAATTTTTCCGCCAAAAGGAAAATCATTATTCATAATATCACGCAATGTTCTATCCATAATCTCTAAAGCATATCGTGGTGTCATTGGTGCTTTATCCCAAATATAAATATCAGTTTCTTTCAAATATTGAGCTTCTTTAGTTTGTATTTTAATGGCAGATGATGAATCAGCAAATAATGGCACCGGTAGTTTAAATGTCTTATGAACTGTTTTTCCAGTAGGTAATAATGTCGCTGCAATACCTGTAAAAGCCATTGTGCACACGCGTTTCTTTCTAATTCTAGCTAAATGATAAATAGTTGTGTATATAAATGTTTTACCTGATCCACCCGGACCATCAATATAAAAACAATTATTATGATTATTATTATTATTATCTAATCTATTTAATAAAAGATCAACTATCTCTTTCTGCTTCTCATTTAATTGTTGGTATTGCTTGGTGCCTATTTCTATAGCTTCTTCAAGTGTCATATAATCCTCCTCTGCACTATTTTCTATTAACTGTTTCATTTGTGAGAAATCAGCAAAACTTTTACCTTCAGCACGAAGCATACTATTAATTTGCGCGTAAGCTTTATTTTGTTCTTGTAACATACCAAAATGTCGAACGTAATCCTCAGACATTGCTTCTTTAAAATTTTCCCACAACTCTTTAGGATGTAATGGTTGACAATGTAATAATATGCGTACAAATAATCTACGAAGTTGTCGAGGCATCATCCATCCACCAGCTTCATAGCTCGTTTCCATTCATCATCATCTTTGATTAAACCTAACGTCAAACAAGCCGCTGAAAATGATTGATAAAATTCTCTATTTACAGTTCTCAAATCATTAAAACTTGTAGCACCCTTTACTGTGAGTAATAATAATCGTAAATGATATAATTCTGTTTGTGCTGGACTAACGGAATATATTCGCCCTAAACAATTATAATGACTTTTACGTTTAACCCAATGCGATACATTTCTGCCATTAATTGTTTCTTTTTTAAATGTATAATAGCGTGGAATTTCTATATATAAATACTGTCTTGCTTCTTTATCTCAAAAGTTTAATGAGAAATAATCTATTAACATAGTCAGTTGATTTAAAACAGAAGTCATTATGTCGTCAATGTTTTCATTTTCAATTATAATATTTTGTTCATTAGGAAGATGGACTGGCAAACGCATTATAGAATGACTTTTATCTTGTAATTTCTTACCAAGAATACGCCAACTGGCTTCTACAGGTCCAACATAACGAACTTCAATATAATTATGTATCTCATCATGATCAATAATTACATTTTCTGTTATTGGTTCAATGGTTAGAGCAGCAACATCGTGTCCTTTATAAATATATTTATACAAATATTTAACAAATAATTAAAATAGATTTAATACTTGAAACTACCTCAACGTTAATATGACAATTAAATATAATCGATAAAATAGGGCAATATGGAACAACATAACGATTATTAACTATATATCGGCCAGGGCGTTCAAAATTTCTATTGTTACGTTTTCGTTCGTCCGTTTTTGGGTCAATATATTTAAATACTTTACCCGGGAGTTGGACGGGTTGTGTGTATTTAGTTTTCAGTCCCGAACAGGAATCTTATTGTTAGTTTATAAACTTTATAACGCGGATCAGTTTTGTTAATGCGGCGATAGTCGGGATAGTCAGGCTCGACGTTAATAGGAGTTAGTTGGTAAGGGATAGTAGGAGGTTTGTCAATTTGGGTGTTTGCTTCTAAATGTTGGAGTTTTTGCGAGAGGTGAAAGAAATCTTGTCGCAAATCAATCGCTTGTTTTATCTAGTATCTGAGCCGTTTGAGCTGTACTCGTTTACCTGCCCTTTTCTTCATGAGAATGTTAAAATACGACGGAAGCTCCCAAAATGAACTTAAGGTCGCTACGCAAGGCAGCGACCAGTCCGATTCGCTACGCTCTTCGGCAGCGAAAGGGGTAAGCTCGATTTGAGAGTTATGGTAAATAATTTCATACACCAAGAGCAGTGTTCGTAGGCGCTACACTCTTCGGCAGCGCCGGTTACCAATTCGCTACACTCTTTGTCAGCGAAAAGGCCGTTCCCCGCTCTCGGAGATGTCCTACGTTATATGTAAATTTTACTCGGATCAGATGCCAAATAACTGAGCTTATTGTGGTATTATCAATTACCTTTTATTCTATGAGTGGTTACAAAATTATAAGTCTAAAGTACTGGATTAGTCGTAAGAATAAGGAAACGAAGGATGACAGTCGAAGTTCGCGGAGAACTATAGTTACGACAAAGGTTTCGTTAAGATTTCAACTGCGATGCACAGCGTTTTTCTAGCCCTATTTATACTCGAAATTTTACCACCTCCATCTATGAATTTTGAAGGAGGGAGGCCCCTTATCTCGGTTTGTTTATAAGATTTTGTTTATAAGGTTTGTTTATAAGGTTTATAAACAACTCTGGCGATCCTGCATATCGGATGTTAGTTTAGGATCTGAGAGCGATGAAAATTTGTCAATACGTGACGATAAGCAAATTCTAGCGATCCCGCGTATCGGATGTTAGTTTGAGTTAAGATAAATCTAACCGAGAGCGATGAAAATTTGTCGGTACGTGACACTATCATTATTTCGTCGACGATAATAAGGATAAGCATCTTCATCCATTTTAGTTTCTTCAAGAAAAGATTTCGGATAGTGTTTCGAACAACGTCCATGTACCAAACACCAATCACCACAAGGTCCATGAATCATATGTTTCATGATTATATCATGTAAAATACGATTTTCACATGGATCAGGAATTTCAGCAGAAATGTATTTATCAACAATTTGTGTGTGGAGTTGTTATTTTAAAATTATATTTTAAAGTAATTAACATATGAATATGTGGCAAACCACGTTTTTGAAATTCAATGACATACACAAACGCTGCTACTTCACCAAAAAATTTTTGCTTAACGATTAAATCAATTAAATAATCTTTTTTAATATTAAAAATACGAGCACAAATATCAGGTCTATCAGAAGCTTGTTGACCAGGCAATAGATTTTCCTCAATTTCACGCCATTTTGGATTGCAAGTCATTGTGATAAAAAGATCTGGCTTACCAAATTTACTAACAATTGCCATTGCATCTTGATAATTTTACAACATATTACGCGGCGACCCAATAAATGTGGAAGGAAGTATAACCATTTTTCCAATACGTCCATTTAAGTTATTCGCTGTAGTTTGTAAATAATCTCTTAAACCTTGATATGTTTCGGTACGTAATTCTTTTTGATGATTTTTACAGTAATCAATTTTATCTTTTTCCATTTTTACATAACTATCTACAAGCCATTGCTGAAATAAGCGACGTCCTAATAAAAAAACATTAAATTCATCACGGATAGCCATACGATATTTAATATACTGTCCTCTAGTTATTCGTCTATGACTATTTAATTTTGTTAAATCGCGATGCCATCCTGAAGTACCATATGGATAAAACAATGGATATATCCATGGCTCAACATTTGGATCCATAATACTAACTTTTTGTAAAATTTAAGTACTTCTATTACGTATTGTAACGTATGATTCTGGAATTTCTCTATCAGCAGTTGTGCAAAAAACAGCAGCAACTTCATTAGTTCTTTGAGCATTATATCGACGTCGATCCATACCTGGTTTTAAAGTAAATAATAATTGTAATTCCGGTAATAATTCACCAGATTCCATTTCTAAACATCGTTGATTTTCTAATTCTTCACCCATCATTTGATAAATTCCCGCATTATATGTTCAAGGTTTTGTACAATTTCAAAATCTAAACACGAATTTTGACTAAGACGATGATTAATCGCTTCATTTGAATCCACAATGAAAAGTTGGCCATAAGTGGGACTTTCATTTTGCGCCGCATACAATGCTGTATTAATTTGATAATAAATTTGTCCTTGTATTTTAAAACAATATGGACCAGGACGTCTTCCTTGCAAATTAACCAAATTTGCATTAAACGAAGCAAATGAAAATGAACTATTATAACTACGAATATGTTGAAAAAAACTATTAGATTTTACATGACTTCCGTCAAATAAAGAATGAAGAAATTGAGGAAGTTCTGGCATTGGTTGCAAATACATTGCACCATGATTACAACAATCATAAAATAAATTTCCTCTATTAGATATTTTTTCAGATACAAAATGCTTTGCATTGCAATGAACGCAAAACACATTCATAGAACCAATATAATATTCAACAACATTATTTACTGACATAGTATTATTTAAACAAGGTTGATTTTTTTGTCGTGATCGATAACGAGATTGCCATTCTGCAAAACGTTCCTGGCATACTGATACAGTATTTCCCGAATTTTGTTCTATAACTTTATTATCCAATTCTATTACATGATTATCACGTATTGTACCAGAAGTACAAACAATTTGTTCGTGTAATATTATATTATTTGATGATTGTTTTTCAACATTATCATCTAATTCTATTACACGATTATCACGTATTGTACCAGCAATACAAATAGTATGATTTTTATTATCAACTGATTTTGGTATATTATTTATTACTTTTGCAATCTGACGACGACGATGTTGATTTTCTGCTTTTCTTTCACAACGTCGTCGTTGAAATTCTTCTTCTTCTTCTATAATACGCTGTATTTTACATCTCAGCATTTTTATAAAAGTATTAATAATATATTAATAAATATACTAATTAACACAGATACGCTAATTAAAAAATATGCATACACACGTATTATAATTCCCGTCAAATATATGTATGTATTATACTATTAAAATTCACACAACTAAAATTTAATCTTTTACACTTTACAAATATAAATATATACAAAAAAATATGTAAGTGTAATTCTTTGTTAATTAAAATACATAAATATATATTAACTATTAAACTTTAAACATATAAAAATTTAAATATACAATTCAAAATTTAATTTTTAAAATTTTAAACGACAAAAATAATATTAATATACTACACTAATAAAAACAAAATTGCATTAATTATTAAAATTTAAACAAACTACTGAACTACTAAAATTTTTTAGATTTTTAATAAAAATATGTACGAAGGAATAAATAGAAATACTATGTTAAAATGCAATTTATAAAATAAATATTGTCTATTAGAACTTAAACAAATAAATTAAATTATGCAAATTTAAATTATTAAAATTACAAATTAAAATGATTGAAATTGAATTTTTAGAAGTTTAAACGCAAATCTATAAAAAATCATCATCATCATTGTCATTATCATCATCATCATCATCATCATTATCATCATCATCATCATTGTCATCATCATCATTATTGTCATCATCATCATTGTCATCATCATCATCATTTTATTAAAGTATATATTAAATTATTTACAATTTATGTACAAAATCTATATTAATAATTTATACAAATACGGAAAAGTATAACAGGAAAAAATATAAAACAAATACAAGTAATATAAATACAAACATGTAATATTATATATATATATATATATATATATATATATATATACAATTACAACTATAATACTTAATTTCTTATATAATACTTAATATAATATTATAATTGAATATTATTAGAAATAAGTCCGCGTTTTTACTCCATACCTGAAAATAAAATAATAAATATTAATGTTAAATAAATAATAAACAGTTATATTTTATAAATTTATAAAAAATAATATAATATTTTGTTATACTAATAAAATATTGTACGAAAATTATAAGACTACAATATATAGGATAATTCAAAACGAGTGTAAAAAGCTTTAAGAATATTTGATTTTGCTTTTGCATTCATAATAATCTCTTCCTTTTTAAATGAGAAAATAATATATACCATATATATATATATATATATATATATATATACACACACACATATATAGTAGAATGTACTACTTAAGACTCACAAGGGAACGTCTTACATTGTTTAGGCTGAAATAAAAAGCGACTATTACCAATAGGTTAGGCATGTCTAAAGATGAAACTGTGCCAAATATTAATTCCCACTGTGTACCAGGATTCGAGTAATCAAGTTGCAAAAACGGTGCTGTGATGGTACATTTTGGAGTATTGTTGCGCCTACTTTAGTGACAATAAACAATTTATACAATAACTTTATATATATATATATATATATATATATATATATATATATGTATATATACACATACATACGTGACCCACATGATAACAATGTATTGAAATTATACTTTATTGTTTTGTCATATTTTTGGATGACATTAAAGTTAAAATAATTTTGAAAAAGAATTTAATTACATACATACCATACTGGCCATTATTATTTACAACGTGTAGCTATTTAATGGGCAGCTTATCAATTCCAGGCGCAAGATTATTTTTATTTTTTTAATACAAGAATTCTAACACTGCATTATTAACACCATTATTTAAAAAATTTTTCCATTCGAAAAATATTGTAAAGATAAAAACGAGTGTGATAGTCGGATGGCGCACTGTTAAGGTGGTTTAATTTTTTTAAATTCGTAGATCATACAATATCTCAAATGCACTTTGTCGACATGTATGTTTGCACATGAATTTAGCAACATTGCGCCATTCGACTATCACTCGTTTTTATCTTTACAAAATTTTTCAAATAAAAAAAATTTCAAAATAATGTTAAAAATGCAGTGTTAGAATTCTTGTATTAAAAAGATAAAAATTTTTTGCGTCCGGAATTGATAAGCTGCCCATTAAATGGCTAGATGTTGTAAATAATAATGGCCAGTATGGTATGTATGTAATTAAATACTTTTTCAAAATTATTTTAACTTTAAAATTTTATCCAAAAATACGATAAAGCAATAAGGTATAATTTCAATGCATTGTTATCATATGGGTCATATGTATGTATGTATGTATATGTGTGTATATATATATATATATATATATATATATATATATATAATGTGTATATAAAGTTACTGTATAAATTGTTTATTAAAAATAAAAACTGTTGATCTCGGCTCGAATTATTGTGTTACAATAAAAATGAAATATCGACGGCAATCGGAGCCTGTACGGATGTCATGCACAAAATTAATAAATTGAAATGAGATCTCAAATAAAGCTCATTTATTAAATTCTAAACGTTTCGACCCACTTCGGGTCTTCTTCAGTAGAATCCGCAAAACAAATTAAATGTTAATCTCCTCCCTAAATTGTCACTAAAGTAGGCGCAACAATATCCCAAAATATACCATCACAACACCGTTTTTAGAACTCGATTACTCGAATCCCGGTACACAGTGGGAATTAATATTTGGCACAATTTCGTCTTTTGACATGCTTAATCTATTGGTAATAGTCGCTTTTTATTTCAGCCTGGACAATGTAAGAGGTTCCCTTATCAACCATAACTTCAGTTTAGAAGATAGGAAGAAACGCTTGATATAAAAAAAATTGTGTAGTATCGAGAGGAATATTTTGTAAAGATGAACATTTTTTCCCAAATAGAATAAATGCTTAGGAGATTTAAAGATCATCCTTATTTTTTTCAATAGAATCATGCAGTTTTAAACACTTACGATTAAATACTTTTTCCAAAACAATTTCAAGATCATCGATGTTCATGAAAAAAGTTAAAAAATAAAAATTTATGAATGTTTTCAAAACAGAATATACGCAATTTTATTAATTGAATCAAACTGAAATGTTATTATTTATGTTTGATATATTGTGATCTGATACTTATTTCATATACTTATTCATTTACAAAAGTTAATCAATAATTTAAACTACAGATGTTCAAAATGATGATCTATTTAAACGAATCTGTGGACTGTTATCATTTTTAACATCTGTAGTTTCAATTATTGACTAACTTTTGCAGCATTACAGATTATTTGAGAAGATTCTGAATCAAAAATATTACATAAACATAGATTCTTTAGTATTTACATAATAACCTTAACAGATAGTGTACAATGTTGAAATAAACACCCGTGAACAATTATATAAAAAAATATTAATGCAACAAATGAAATTTGTATAAATAATATATTGTGTACATGATTCCTTGATTCGTCGATACAATGCAGGTAATTATCAAGACAGGACCTTTATGTTTTTATAACATTTTTTTATGTTTATATAACATTTTAGTCCAAATTATCTCCACAATTTTTAAGAAGTATCCAACAATTAATAACAAAATTTTATAATAAAAATTAATATTTTTCATACAAATTAGCACATACTAAAACTTTAGAAAATATTTTTTTCCATAAAAAAAATCAATATCATCTTAAATTTTTTAAATGGAACAACTCTTTTAATTTTTACATACATTGATTCCTTATTATTAAATATATTCGATATAAAAAGTTATATAGTAGTAGGCTGACTAAAATGTGAATAAATTAACAATAGAGATGTGTGATGAATCGCCAGATAGAATTAAAAATAAACTCTCTTCTCTCGACCATACTGGCAAATTTTATTAATTCACTTCACAACGTTTCGACTATAATTTTAGGTCCTTTTCAAATGATCTATAATCATGTACAGAAAAATTAATCAAAATTATAAAAAAAATACAAAATCATAAAAGAAAGAAATTAAATAAATACTTACGAAATGTAATTAAAATCTTAAGAAGTAAGCGAGTGAGTACATTGTGTCAAATAGACATCGTGTCAAGTAATCGAACAGAATTCGAGAGACTAAATAAACTTTATTATTTTGTCATAAATGTTAT